AATTAAAGTTCATTTTGTATTTCATGGGGTCAACGTTTATTCAGATGTTTCCTGTTTGCTCATTTCGATTGAAAAAATCATCCAATGGTTGCATGACAAAGATTAGAGCCAAAAGAAATCTATCTTATCGATGAGTCGATGTTTTAAGGATAATTATCGTTGAGAATTGGAAGAAAATATTGAAAATTCTTTTTCGAAAAAAATGAAAGTCTATTGTTAATTAGTGCAGTAGAACCAGAATTGAATTGCAAGTTGATGAGAAAAGATGATTTCAATGCATTCCAATCAATCATTTTAATCTATTTTGTTGAATCTCAAAATGCAAATGAGTTTTTATTCAATGAATTTTATTAATCCCTTGACTATCATTTTAATAAGTTGCATGGAAACTTGAGAAATTTTGAAATCCTTTTAATTGTTCTTTAATCAACAGGAATTTATAAGCGGATGATGAGTGACAAACGATATGGTTTAACTGTTAATCTTTTAGCGACCAAAGTATTACCTTCCCTGACTCCTGTGGTGGTTTCACCGACTCTTAAACTCGAAGAGGTAAACATTTTACTCGATATGTTTGCCATTCAATTAACTCATTTTATCTCTAGTTTTCCCTGTTAGTCAAATTGTTACAAGAAATGCTGGAACATGTTGCTCGTAACCAGCGAAATAAACTAAAACTCGAACGTCTATCGATGCCGTCAAATGATGGGTAAGAATGAATATGAACATCTTTCTTTAATAAAGATAGCTTTTTAGTTGAGAGGAAACATCTTTTTTGAAGATTGAAGGAAATCTCGATTTCGTTTCGATTCTCGTTTCTCGATTGATTTAGTAATGAGATTTTGTTTTATTTGTTTCGCTTAGAAGAATGCAACTTCATCGTAATTTAGATCAACCCATTGGCTATCCTCATCGACCTCCTTGCCTTAGACTGGAAACTCGTCGAACCTCAATATCGGTTGACGATGTTGTCCGACGTACAACCTCTTCTGGAGCCTCCAGTCCTGACATTAATTTACTTCAGGTTCAAGGTAACCTTCCAGGTCGTCGTCATTCAGATAACACCATTCAACCTCCAAGGATATTGATTGCTCCCTCCAGTCCAACAGGTTCCGGTTCCATGTCAAGACGATCAAGCTTTGCCAATCTTCACTTTCGTCGTCATTCAAGTGCAAATCCAAACGATCCTAAATACAACCAATCAATTTTTTCTGCTTACAGTTTCAAGGTAATAATTCAGTGAAAATTATACCCAAGTTTCACTTTTAATCTCATAATAATCGTTTTAACTTGAGAAACAAATCAAATTATCTTAATCAACTTATTTCTCAATATCAAGCTAATTAAGAAGGAAAATCTAGTTTCATCACAATTTCAATGAAATTGAAACAAAGTTATTTTCAGGTTAAATTGAAACAATCTTTTACTGAAACCAATTTCCCTATTTTCCAAGTAAATCGCAAAGAAAAATCTTCGAATCTTAAGTTCTGAAATTATTCTATAATAGTTTAATTCATTCAACTATTTTCTCTTATAATTATAATCGAATCAGGATTTTAGTCAATTTATCTTGAGTTTCGTCAACTTTTCTCTTAATAGAAGTTCATTTTTAGCTCAATCTTTCTGCACGCAAGTTTTATCAACATTTCATCAAATCCAAGTTAACCTTTTCAAGTCAATATCGAGCAACTAAATTCAACCATTTTAAGAAAATTCTTGAATCTTGAAAAATCTTGAAATCTCGAATCTTTATTTAAATTTTCAAGCAGAGAGGAAAGAATCGGATTAAAATTTCAGATTAACGATGAAATTTGATTGTTATACAAATTTTTGGATTAGTCGAGTTAATTCTTCCTCTTCTATTGAAAAATCATCTCTTAAATTTTTGAACATTTGAAGATGAAACTTTCTTTTTCTATACATTTCGATGAAAAGATGTGAACCAATTTCTAGAGATATTTCATTCTTCTTTTCTGTCCTTTTCAGAAACGAATAACATGAAAATGATGTTGAATTCTGTTTCCTTTTATTCACCTATTCTTTACTCAGCCTTCCCAAGGGATTGACTTTTTCATTCCAAGTTTATCAAATGCAAATCGAAGTCCCAATCACCAATCATCTTCACCAGTTGGTGGTCGTCGTTACTCAACTGCAGCAGTTTTCAATCAAGGAACCAACTCGACACCTTCAAGTCTCCTTCAAACACTCGGCTCTGGTATGGTAAGTAATCAAACCCAGACCCAAATAAACATTAAAAAGATGAAAATTAATACCAATTTATAATTAACTTAACAGCAACAACTTTTTGGTAAATAAAGCTCTCAATACATTTGGATTATTTGATATTTCCAGCAACTTGAACAATTGCTTATTAAAACTTGATCAACTCCTAGTCCCAATGAAGCTCACTGGAGGACAAAATGCGGCCAATTTCAATTGTTGATCAAGAAGGCAAAGCGAGAAAAGTTTAATTACAATTTTCTTCTTCTTCTCCATCATCTTCTTCTTGGCTAACCTGGCATCAATTAACATTTTAAAGGTAAACCTGGAAATGGTCAACATGGTCAACAAGAGCTCACTTGAAGCAACGAAGCAACACATTAATTAACTTCTTAACCATTTAATAATAATTTATTCAAATTATGTTGTTATATACATAAATATTATTGCTCCTGGTTTATTGACTAAAGGAGTAAAGTTGAAAAAAAGTGAGAAAACATCTCAACTAATCAAGGCAATTACATTTAATCAAAAACTAATTAACATTGAGCTAATCTAAAGTTAGATTTATCATTAACTTTTTAATCAACGTTAATCCAACAGTAAATTGTTTCTTAATATGCAATTCATCAAGAGCTATTAGATGAGCAACACTTTAACTTGTAAATTATTGCTTTGCTTTTACAACAAAACTCCAACATTAAGTAACCAGATTTTGGGTTTGATTTGGGTTTAACCTCAACCCATTTGATTAAATGTTGAGTCAACTTTTCTGGTTTAACTTCAAGACTTTACTTTTAGATCAATTTAAATTGTAGTTAGAATTCAATTAATGATCAGCACTTTGATTTATCTCATTTTTCCCTGTCATCTTAACCATTCCTCATGAACATTCCATGATCAGGTGAAATCAATTTTGTTGATTAAATCCTGTCTATTCTTGGATCCATTTACCTCATAAACCAGGTTAATAATGATGATATTTTTTTTGCTGTTCCTTGAGCAAAGAAAGAAAAAAAAATGATGAAAAAGATTGAACTTCATATTCATTTCCATTGGAATCCTATTCATTTTTCCATCTTTCCATCATCATGATCATCAAGATCACTATTTAAGCTCTCGATATATATACATAAATAGAAATATAAATATTAAGAAATGAGAAGAAGCAAAATTATTATTATACAATGATAAATATTATTATCTGTTCAGATGATGATGAATTCAGTGAAGCTGAAACAATTATTGTTACTATGGGAACATATATATATATAAATGAGTAAAATTCATTTCTTTTTTTTGATGAAACATGATTTTACCTGGAAAATGTTGTGTTGTTTGAAAAATTGTTTTCCTTTGCTCTTTATTTTGACCCATTTAAATGATTACTCTTTGTTATTGAACAGCAAACATTTAAATCATCAGCATCACTGTGATGCATATTAACTTGATCATCTTCATTGCCATAATCAGTTGATTACTTGGCTTTAATAAGGCTTTAATTTTTGGCTCTGCTCTCATGTAAATTCATGAGTTTAACTGGAAATATAAAAGCAAATGAAGCTAAAATGTTTTTATGTTATAACTTGTTGTTGTCACTTGAAAAGACTGTATTAACTGCATTTGAATGTAACATAAAAATAAATGTATCATTAATATAAATATTGGTAATTATTATTATAAAGTGACAATGATTGATGGCTTGTAATAAAATATATTATTAAACATTATAGTCCATGGTTTATTATAATAAATTGACAAATCAATTTGATTGCTTTATCCATTTGAAATCGACAACATAATTTATGGTTGTAACCAGTTGATCATGAGGTAAGTTGACGGGTTGAAAGAGACATCTTTTGGGTTCTCTGGTTTTGTCTGGGTTCACTTTGGTCTTTTCTGGTTTCCTCCATATTATTGTCTCTTGGTTAAGTTGGGTTTTGGTATAAACTTGACTAATTTATATTTAAAGTAACCAATTAAAGGAAACATGTGTTGTGATTTAGATTAAACAATGAATCTCAATTAATCTTCTGGTAAAAGTGAGCATGAAAAATACGTTGAACTGGTGAGTCTTGATTGCCTGGCTAAAAATGTAATGTAAGATGAATCACAATCTTCATTAATGATATAACAGGGTAAAGATTTATCTAACGGTTGGAAGTAAATAGAGAAATGCAAACAAAATGGTTGCCTTGTGATAACTGAAGACGATGGTTGATGTTTATGTTGTTTGCAGGCGATAGTGT